CTACTTGAGGGTCATTGCTATTCTTGGATCCCTGTTTCTCTCTTTAGCAATCTTCTGGTACTCCAGTTATATTGTGCCCCGAACACTGATGCAGTAATCTTTTTCCCTTTCATACGTTTTCACTTGTAGACTATCCGTTTAGATCAGGAAGGGTGTGTTGTCAGGGCCGTGTCATTTCTCCATACTTATTCAGTCTATATGCTGAGCAAATAATTTGTGAAGCTGGACTCTGTGAAGAGCAATGTGGCATCAGGACTGGAGCATCACTCATCAACAACCTGCATTATGCATCTGATACAGTCTTGCTTGGAGAAAGTGAGAAGGAGTGGAGCACTTACTGCAGAAGGTTAAATGCTGCAGCCTTCGGTATGGATTACATCTCAACATAAAAAAACTAAGGTCCTCACCACTGGGCCAAGAGGCAGCATCTTGACAGGTGGAGAAAGGATGCAAGTTGATGATTCATCCTGCTTGAATCAACAATCAACACCCTGGGTACCAGCAGTTAGGAGATCAGGAGACATACTGCCCTGGGGACATCTGCTCCCAGGGACCTTTCTTAAAATGCTGAAGAATAGTTATGTTAGTTTGAGGTTTAAGATGCATCTGATTCAGACCATGGTCCTTTTCAGTCACTTACTACACATCTGAGAGCTGAACAATGAATAAGGATGACAGAAGAGTTGATGTTCTTAAACTGTGCTGGAGAAGAGTGCAGACTGTCCCGTGGGCTAGGAGAGGCTGTTCCTTGGAGAAGGACGTCATGCTCAGAAAGATGGAGAGATGGCGAAGGAGAGGAAGCCCCCAGGGAGATGGATGGACAGTGACATAGTGACGGCACTGGACTCAAGTGTGTCATGAGGGGGGTGGTGTCGGACAGAGTTGAGATCTGTGGTTCATAGGGTCACTACATGTCCTGCTCGACTCGATGACACCCAACAACCACAGCAGACATGCTGTGTGGCTGAGTCCATGTGCTGGTGTCCACAGCACTTTGTCCCAGCAGGTGGTTAACTTACCTGCCGGTCAGCTTGCTGACCTTTCTGAGATTCCCACCCCACCTGTCAGGAACACACACGTCTCCCCGCCCCGGGAGGTCTGTCCTTGTGTACCCTGCCTGTCCCCAGAGCCCCCGCCCCGCACTGCAGTGTGGGACTCACCACGCCCAGATCTTGGAGCTCCCGGTGTGGGACCAACGTCCAGCTATTAGAGCCTCCCGTGTGGGACTCACCACGCCTGGCTGTTGGAGCCTCCGGTGTGGGACTCACCACGCCTGGCTGTTGGAGCCCCCGGTGTGGGACTCACCACGTCCAGGTGTTGGAGCCCCCGGTGTGGGACTCACCACGTCCAGGTGTTGGAGCCCCCTCCTTGGCACTGGTCTCTCTCTCTCTCTGTGCCCTACCACTCAGTTTCCTGAGGAGGGAGCCTTACGAGCTGTGAACTACAATTTTAATCCCCACGATTCAGAAAGTGCCTGGAGGCTGAAAGTCAGGGGGACCGTAGGGCTCCCCATATATTTGTCTGCTCTGAGGGGTCACATTTTACTTAGCAAATGTCTCAGTTGAGTTGTTTGCTGGACTGTTTCTGAGCGTCTGTTCAGGGCACGCGCTGCTGACAGCACAAAGCACAGCTACATGAACACACTCCCTGCTTCATGGATTGTGGGGAAGACAGACAGTGAACAGGGGAGAGGCACACTGTGGGGTCAGAGGACAGTGTGAAACTCTCGCCCTCCTTCCCAGATCGTGGGGAAGACAGAGAACGAGCGGGGGGACAGGCACACTGTGGGGGCAGGGGTCAGTGAGTGCAGGACGTGGGAAGCAGGGTGAGAGGTACAGTGGGACCGGAGAGGGTCTCTCAGAAGTGAGACTTCAGTGAAGCGATGCATCGTGCAGGTATTTGGGAGAAGAGAATTCCAGAAAGAGAGGTGGAGTGTGAAAAGCCATGTGAGGCTCGAAGCGGCGGGTGACACGGTAGCACTGATGTGCTGGGAAGTTTTCCCCGGTTACTGAGTGGACGTGGGGAGAGAAGGTGTGTTACCATGGAGGAGGGGACACGCAGCTTCACCTTGGTGATACCTAAGTGCTGGTGCCGGTGGCTTGTCTCGTTCCCGTGTCCGAGAGACCCCATTGCCGCACACCCTCACCAGCACTAATTGTTGTCGAGTCGGAAATGACACATAGGTCGCACAGGAGGAGACTGCCCCTCTTTCTCCTTCAGAGCTGCTGGTGGATTTGAACCCTCTGCCTTTGGGCTGGCAGTGCAGCTCCAATGGGGCTACGCCACCACAGCTCCCTCCAGCCCATCTGTGAAGCGAGGAGGTTTGAGTGAGGCCTTCACATTTCCTCACCTTCTGGTGAGGGTGTCTCAGCCCTTTGCCTTTTCCCCTACAGTAACCTCCCTTCTAGTATCTATTATCCAAGTTGTTGCTGTTTAAGGTGGTTTTTCTAGTCTGGAAACAAAAATCTTTGTCTCCTGAATGCAGTGCAAACATTTTCATCCAATGTCCAGTGTGTATTTTAATTTTGTAGGGTGTTTCTTTGACTGGTTATACAAAACCTTCCATTTTTTATACCATCCATAAGCTCTCCCCATTTTCTTGGTGGCTTTGTCTTATTGAAGTAATTTCTTTCTATCTTGCAGTCTTGAAAATATTTTTTTAAAAAAAAACACGACCCAACTTGCCCTGTATTTTCTGCTAAGATTTTCGACCTTTTATGTATTTATCAAGAGTACTGAAGAGCAATGATGTCAGGCTGGAGACTAAGGTGCACCTGATCCGGGCTATAGTCTTCGCAATTACGTGCTATGCATCAGAGAGTTGGACAGTGAATAGGGTAGATAGAAAGAGGATTGATGCTTTTGAGCTGTGGTGCTGGAGAAGAGTGTTGAATATACCATGGACTGCTAGGAGAACAAACAGGTTTGTCCTGGAGAGGGTGAAGCCAGAGTGTTCCCTGGAGTCAAGGATTCTGAAGCTTCATCTGACATATTTTGGGCATGTTGCAGGGAGAGACTGGTCCTTGGAGAGGGACTGGTCCTTGGAGAGGGACATCATGTTTGGAAGAGTGAAGGGGAGGCGAAGGAGAGGAAGACCTTTGGTGAGATAGATCGATTCGTGACTGGAGTGGTGGGAATGAGTGCGTTTGAGGTGGCTAGGTTGGCACAGGATAGAACAGCATTTAGAGCTCTTGTACATAGGGTCGCTATGAGTTGCAAGCGACTCAACGGCACGTAACAACAACAATAGAGGTGATTGATTGTGCATTCTGACACTTGTGTGTGATGTGAGGTTGCTGCTGTTGTATATACCGTAGAGTCAGAACCGACCCATAGCTGACCCTCCAGTGGGTTTTCAGAGACAGTGAATCGCACAGGAGGAGATTGCCCATCCTTCTCCCACGGAGCTGCTGGTGGCCTCGAACCACGTGCCTTCGAGATTGCAGCTTCTTGGCACTAGGCCACCCGAGCTCCTAGTGAGGTGAGGTAGCGATCAGATTTCTGTGTGCACACCAGATTCCTGCCTGATGTCAGCTGTTCCCACTGATCTGTGAAGCCTCCACTGCCATATCGCAGGTGCTAAGGGACGTGGCTGTGTGGGACTCTCCTTTTCTCTCTCACGGATCATATTGCCAATTCCTATACCCATACCAGGGAACTCTAGTGGCCTAGAGGTAAGAAGTTGCACTGCCAACTCTAAGGTGTGTGGTTCAAATACACCAGCTGCTCTGAGGAAGAAAGGTGGGCGGTCTCCTCCTGTGCGTTTTAAATGTTCTGAAAACCGTCTTGAGGGTCAGCTGGGAGTCAATGATAACTCAACAGTACACAACATCGACAACACACTTTTCTTTTTTTTATTTTTTGTTTTATTTTTTTGTGTGTGAGTGTACCGTCAAATCAGATCTGACTGGTACAGGAGGAGATTGTCCCTCCTTCCCCAGCAGAGCATCTGGTGGATTCGAACCGTGAGCCTCTGGGATTGTAGTTGCAGCTCCTTACCACTAGGCCACCAGAGCTACCCTGTCTTTTTCTAAATAAATGTAATAATTATTGTAAGTTAAGTAAGAGGAAGATTATCTTGTTTTGTGTCTTCTCTATGTAAATAACTCTGTACTATGGCTGAGTGGTAAGAAGCTGCACTTCCAGCCCAAAGACGCACGGTTTGAACCCACCGGGTGCTCCACAGGAGAAAAGGCCGTCTCTTCCCTGCTAGTCGCCACCCCAGAGACCTCGGGGGCTCAGCTGTGCAGTCTCAGCTCTGGCCAACGGACAGCAGCGGCCGCACTGCATTTGGAACATCTGTGTGTCACCTGGAGGCACAGGGGTCATGTTGGATGTTGTGTGGCTGCCGATGGTTCCAGGCCCCCGGCTCCACGCCTCTGGAGAACGAGGGGCCAGTCTGTGAGATTCACAGGGCTGGAGACTGGCCAGGTCCCCAGGAGTCAGGGCCCACTTGAGGGCAGTGGGTTTGGGGAGTTTGGGCTGGACTGAAAACATTCCTGGGCGCTCACCCTTCTGGCACTGCTGTGTGAAGTGTTTGACCTCACCTGCCTCGGTGAAAGGTGGGGTTCTTCTCCTTTGCGCCCTCTCCTTCCCAGGCTAGCAGCTCTACCCTCCGGCCATTGGTCGTGAGGCCTCTGAGCCGTGGGCCCAGCTCTTCTGGACTCACCCATGGGCCTGTGCTGTGTGGTTTGTGACATGCCAGGTCCACGGGTTCCTGCCGAGCAGACCCCAGGGACAGGCCTGGAGGCTCTGGGGTTTCCTGTTCGCATCAGCTCTGAGACCTTGGGTTCTAAAAATAGTGCACAAGAAGCTGCCGTGACCTCACGGTCTGCGTGCTCACAAGGTGCTCTGTGCGCCCTGGGGGACCACCTTCACCCCGTGGCTGCCGGGGCCTGGCCCCCAGCAGAGCCCCTCGGGGTGCAGCAGGGCTGCGGAGCCCAGCAGGGCTTGGAGGCCCCACCATCACTGAGCTCTCCCTCCTCTGTCCCCAGGCGGTCACCCGCAGGCCCAAGGTGGCCCCCTCCGAGAGGATGAGCAGGTTTCTGAAGCACTTCACGGTGGTGGGCGACGACTACCACACCTGGAACGTCAACTACAAGAAGTGGGAGAACGAGGAGGAGGAGGAGGAGCCCCCGCCGGCCGCCCCTGAGGAAGGCACTGCGGGCCCCAGCGCCCCCGCTGGCCCCACCGGCCCTGGCCCTGCGCCCCGCCAGCGCCTGGACTTCAGGGCCACACTGCGCAAGCTCTTCAGCGCTCACAGGTTCCAGGTAGGGGGCTGCAGCCGGGGCGCCTGGGGAGGTGAGGAGGAGACCTCAGCCTGGGCCGCTGCTGTGGTCTGTGTGCCAGGTGCCCGCACAGCGGTGGCCACAGCAGGAAGTGTCAGGGGCCCCTCAGCAGACGTGTGCCTGACAGGGTGTGTCCCTCGGCCAGATCACGGCCTGGAGGAAGAGGCTGGGGCCCCTGAGTGGGTGCAGGCAGCGGGCAACGTCCTGAGGGAAGAGGCTGGGGCCCCTGAGTGGGGTGCAGGCAGCAGGCACCATCCTGAGGGAAGAGGCTGGGGCCCCTGAGTGGGGTGCAGGCAGCAGGCACCATCCTGGGGGAAGAGGCTGGGGCCCTGAGTGGGTGCAGGCAGCAGGCACCGGGGAGTACAGAGATGGATGGGTCAAAGAACAGCCTAGGGCTGTGGACGAACTGCAGGGGAGGCTGCCGACCGGGCCAGCTGGCGGCTGTGAAGCCTCTGGAGTTTCCATTCACGATGAGAACAGGTTGTGTAACTAGACCCCAGTGGCCATGGTACAGCTTTGAGTGCGCTCAGCTCTCAACACCTCCATCACCTTCTCACTGTATCTGCTTCAGGGAGCTCCGCTGGCTCCGCGGGAAGGGATTGTGCTGCCAGTGCAAAGGCACACGGTTCGAATCCCCAGCTACTCGAGAAGGACGGGCATTCTCCTCCATCCAACTTATCACCTCTGAAAACCTACTGGAGGGTCAGCTAGGGGTCGGTTCTGACTCTGCAGCCCACAACAATGTGTTTCACTGCAGTAGAGAAAAGAGGAAAGGTTGGGGGTGAGGGAAAGCAAACATCCACAGGGTCCTGCTCAGGACTGGACAGTGCCCACAGCTCTCTGCCCTGAGAGACTCATACACAGCTCATGGTCCGAAGTGAGGCCGGGAATGGCCGCCTGACTGTCACCCTGTGCTGATTCAAGGCGTGGTCATGGGGAGAACTTGAGCAGGGGGGCAGGACGTCAGGGAATCGCACCAGGTGCCTGAACCTTCCATGGGGTCCAGGATCCGTATGAGCCTGGGGGGGGCGGCTGCATGATGCTCCTGTTGGTCCGTTTCTGGATTTGAACCATCTCGAGGACACTGCTGTCCGTCTCCTAAGCCATGGCCCCCCGTTTCCTGCCACTCCACAGGGGTGGCCCTTCTGGGAGCAGAGAGAAGCACACCTTACTTCTCCCTCCGTATTAGGGGAAATGACCGAAGAAGAAAGGAATCTGTCTTGTAATCGCCTCCTCTCACGGTTTAACGCCGTGACACAGCTGCCACCCAGCTCTCCCCACACATCAGCTCGCTCCCTCCGTGGCTGTGACAGGAACAAAACGTGGTATTAAGTTGTTGGGATTGAAATCCCAAACCCTCAATTTCAGAAGTAGAAGGAGACAGCCAACTTCCTCCCAGCTGCACGAGAGAGCTCTGGACCCCCCCTTGGGGTCTCCCCATTGGGCTGGTCCACGGGGCCAGCTGGCCTGCTGGGAGCTGGCACCCTTGGCTGGGACCCTCAGGGACTGTCCTACTGAGAAAAGACTTCACTGTGGTCACCTAAGGAGAGATGTTTTCTCTTTCGCTTGGGAATTTCAGCCACAAACCAGGCAGACAGGGTTCACCCTGAGGAGTCATGGGTCTGGGGCTGAAGGAATCTGCTCGACCCGTTACAGCAGGGTTCTGGGGGTTCCTGGGCTGGGATTGGGAATTGGAGGCCAGGGCAGATCTTGAGAAGGTGACCTTTCCACTGGCATCTGAGGGATTAGCAGACGTGGACTGTGGAGGGGGAAGGGGGGACCAGCCCACAGCCTCAGAGGCAGCGGGGGGAGCTCAGCAGGCGAGGCAGGGGCAGTCCCTGTCACCCCTGGGCGGTCTGGATGGCCAGTGAGGCTCCAGGCCCAGGGCCACACCATCCACTCTGGAGAAGGGTTCAGACAGAAGCCGACAGCGAGATGGGACTAAGAAGAGTTCGGAGGGGGCTGTTCTCTATAGGAAGAATCTACGCACCAGAAGGCTCTGTGGACATCCTGGTCTCCCAGCTGTGGGCCTAGTGTTATGTGGCCAGGGTCACTACACAGGGCTGCCACTAGTGTGCAGGGTTGACCAGCCAAGGGAGAGGACATAGACAGTGAGGAAGAGCTGGGCCGGGGGACAGTGGTCAGGCAGAGCCAGAAGCTTCAATTGTTAACCACTATATTGTGGCAAAATATACAGACCACAAAACTGGCCGGACAGTGATTACAGCCACCAGTGGTGCAGCCTTCGCCACCAGCCCTGAGGGGTTTTAGCCCCCCAAAACATCAGTACCCCTTTATCAGTGACCCCCCCATTCCTTCCCCCACATCTTGAGCCCACTGCTCAGCTTCTGTGTGTCTGTCCAGCGTGACCAAGCTCCAGTTCCCTCACTCGATGTGGGACTTCAGGGTTCTCCCAGGAGACAGTGTGCGTCTCCATGTCCACTGCCTGCCTGGACCGCGTTCTGTGGCTCCACTCGTGGCGGTGGACATGTGAGTGGTTTTACTTCGTGGCTCTTGTGAATAACGCAGCGGGGAGGACATATCTGCAGGTACCTCGAGCCCCCGCCTGCTGGTCGTGGGGTGCCTGCCTAGACGTGGAGCGGACACGCGTGCATCTGGGTTTAACTTTTCAAGGCAGAGCCTCACTTTTTCTCAGCCATTCCCCGTAATGTAGGGTCACACTCCTCTTGTCCTTCTGGGGTAGGAAGTATGGGTGACTCTGCCCTCTCCCGGAGGACACTGAAGTCTGCAGAGGGTCCCCAAAGCCCGGGCTAGCAGGCCTGGGAGAAGCGTGTAGACCAGCTGCCCGGAGCCACTGTTCTGTCTCAATTCTGAGGTTCGCCCAGCTTGCAGCACCGGAGGACCTGCGATCCCCAGGCTGTGCTGGGCTCCTGCTGTTGGACTTTGTGACTCGTTCCCTGGAGAAGCAACTTGGGGCTCAGCTGATAGAGGACGGAGCTGGGCCAGGCACCAGCTTGGGGGCCTCTAATAATCTCTGCCTCTTGGCTTTAGACCAGATGAGTGTAGGCCCTGCAGCTCTAATATAACTAAGGATGGAAACGAAACACCAGAGGCTTGGATCTTTAAAGATTAAGCTACACCATCCAATACTTTCGTTACTACAGTAATTAGAGCTACAAGTTGAAATGGTCAAAAGGTTTAAAGTCTGTTCTGGACAAGCCTGAACTTAAAAATTGAAGCCTAACACTGCCAAAGCTGTTGGACAAGGGCAGGTTAGTGCTGAGAGGTAGGATCTACGGATCTGTGCGGAGGGCCGCGGGGAAGTCAGGTGCCCTCCCGGGAAGGGCTCTTCCCGCTGCTGTCATCCCCTAACCCCCTTGCCTCCCCATGGTCTCCCCCAGTACTGTCCCTCTTCCCCACCCCCGTGGTCACCCCCAGTGCTCCCTCTTCCCCACCCCCGTGGTCATCCCCAGTGCTCCCTCTTCCCCACCCCCGTGGTCATCCCCAGTGCTCCCTCTCCCCACCTCTGTGGTCACCCCCAGCGCTGTCCCTCTCCCATGGTCTTCACCTTCAGCACTCAGCACCATGGTGGCAGCCTCCTCGGCTCCCGTCTGTGGGAGAAGGTGTGGGGTCTGCACGGTGGGGACGAGTGTCAGCCTGAGGGTCCTTCAGAGGTCATGGGGGCTGGCATATCTTGAATTACTGTTTTGTGAACCCTCTTGCAGAAGTATACATTTCTTACTTACCACCATCGAGGAATTAGCATGGGGTTTAAGGAGCAGCAAAGGGCTGTGGAGAGGACTCGTCAGGCCGAGGGGTTCCATGCGTGGTGTGGGGAAGGCAGAGCCCGTGGGGAGGAGGGGCCTCTCTGTGGGAGGGGGCAGCAGGTCCCCAGCTCCTGGCAGGGCCTCCGCTAACCTTAGCACCTTTACTGGACACTCGGAACCCAACGTGGCCAGGCTAGCACCTAGACGGAGCCTTGCTGAGCCGGGTGGTCTCCTTCTGTGCCCACTGCAGGTCATCATCATCTGCCTCGTTGTCCTGGACGCCCTCCTGGTGCTGGCCGAGCTGATGCTCGACCTGAAGATAATCCAGCCCGACAAGAACAAATATGCCGCCAGGGTAGGACCCTGGCTCCGGCTCAGTTTACCTGTCACTGCACTGAAGGAC